CGCTCAGATATGAGTTGAATTTAGAAACTAGTAAATGGGCATCTTTTAGCGAAACTGAATTGAGATGATTAGTATAATGCATTTAAATTTGATTGGCTGCAATGCTCTCGTAATCCAGTAGAATGTATGAGTTAATATTGTTTGATAAAAGTATCACGCCACTGGACGGAAAATACCATCGCCAAGTCTCGATTACATGCATAAAGTCCATCTACTTCATTTAGTGGAAGGATACCATCAAAGATGTGAGCTTTTTTAGATGTTTAATCACATCAATCAGAGTTATGTATGTATGTATGAGCTAAAAGAGGAGCTCTTCAAAAAAGAGGAGCTCTTCAAATCAACTGGTCATTGAATCAAACTTCCAAGTAAAATGGCTGTTCGTGACAGAAAACAGTGGTATCAAAATCCCAATTGACAATTAAATGAATCTAATATAGGGATTTCAAAATTGAACACTTCACTTTACTTCACTTCTACTTCACAGGTTTCACTGTACATGTATATATGATAATATAGAATAAAAATGTTTATAAGATATTTCAATAAATTTTGTTTTGGTTAAATCCCATCGCTACAAAAAGCTCTCGACAATTGCAAGTAATACATGTTTAAATACGATACTGCAGTCAAGAAACCATGCCAAAATTCCTCTATAATTTCTCTTAAAAACGTGGATGAACTTCTCATATTTCCAGCAATTTTCTACAATTTGGAATCTTGCATTTATCCTTTATGACTGTTAATTCAATTTCTTGCGAATTTCACCATATTCCTCATAATTTTGAATAAAAATGACCAAAATGACTTTTATTTATTGATAAGGGATATTTTGATATGATCAGTATGGGTCACTTTCAGTTTCTTTGATGTCCCTAGCGGAGCCACTTCACCATAATGCGGGTTAAATTATTGCAAATCCAATAAAGCGTATATATACTTTCCCCCTTAGAACTATAACGAAGTTTGTCAAATTTACATTTTTATATAAATTTTATCGTAATTGTATTTGTGAAGCTATTACTGAATAAATAATGAAATAATGTTATTATGAATAATATTGAGGCAGATGATACGCTAATACACTTCAAGATGGTCTGAATAAATTGCTTCTATTGGAAAAGACAGGGGTATTTCTATCACTGTAACACTGCCCCCACTTATGGAATAAAGTTCAGCCTTGAACGAGGACTTTGAAATTATTAGGTTAAATAAACTCATGCAATAGATTTGATAGGAACTTATTCTCTAAATCCTATCACCATGAATATCATATATGACAATTAAGTATATAAACACCATTAGCATTGAGTTTAAACCATCAAGTATAAATATCAGATAAAAAGTCACAACTGTTAAAATAGGTCTTATATTTAAAAAATCCCAATCTATTTAAAATTTGTTAAGATATAGAATCTGAAATATATATAATCAAACAATAATTTTTTTTTGATATTTTGGATGTTTTGTGCTATACTGAGGATAAAGCTCTCAGATCGCCAAAAGTGATTTTCTGACAATATGTCTATGAGAAACCCATGGCAACTGTCAGATTGTCAACCAATTAAAAAACATATCTCTCTTAAGCCCTTATGTTCCTTGATTTAATACACATATCACCTATAATGCTCAATTTGATCAAATTTGAAGTGACGGTTAAATGATAGACCGTATTTTTGGGATTTTCCATGTCATGCTGGATCATTTACGCTCCTAGGGTGTCAATAATGATAAAATATCGAAGACACTAATGTTCTTTCTGAGAATATAGGATTATGGAAAAGTCATTTTCGTAAATTACTAGACTGTCTTCGCATAATTTTCGAGGGGATTTACTAGCAGATTTATAGAAGTATTGAATCTCTCCTTGATATGGGAATTGTGCTCTTCTAACCTCACATACAAAAGATTTGTTAGACTTTTTTAATGAATATCAGACTTGCTTAGGGTACAATAGATAAAAATACAAAAATTCATAAAGTTTCAAGTTATATAAAGTATTAGATAAAGTTTGCTAAACTTAATGCATATACTATTTTTGATATCTAAAAATTGTTTAAGTTGTATGAAATTTTATGTTATAATTGAAAACAACAACACAAAAAGATCTGGATCATATAGGAAACATCCTTCTTCCAGAACTATTGGTATAAATGGTATAAAAACATAAAAACACAATTGCAAACAATATAAAAAAACTAAAGCAGATGTCATAGAATACAGAATTTTACAAAGGTTCTATATAATTGATTGGAATTATCCAAAAATTGCAAGGTAAACTAATCAAGCCGAATATTTCACATTTCCCACGTATCGCAAATTAGTTATTAGAAAATAAAATTATGATTTGATTATTGTAATAATATGACAGTTGGTGAAAACCACAGTCATGACCACATGAAACAGGCATGATCCAAATCATCGTAAAACAGACATCTTTTACCAAATATGCTTTATCACTTCATTTCTATAATGTTATACCACAATAGAAAATAAATCAGATCAGCCATTTTCTTTCAACAACTTAAATTCAAACTGAAATACACTGTAGCGTATCTATGTAACTGTTTCTGTCAAACAATGTATCCATATTAAATGTATGGCTTGCCAATCACGCCAAATAAAACAGAAGAAAAATAACTTGTTATTTGTCTCAAACTTAAACATTTGAACCAATCAAGCGATAAAATCTGTTCATCTGAAAAAACGCAAGGAGCAACATCTGAAGAAACATAATAACCAAAAAAAACAACAATCGAATCTATTTATCTTTTAATACACACTGGACCTTCAACATTTGAAGCAAATGTTCTATTGTGCTACGTGATTACGCAATAGAACATTCTAGAAAAAGTTAATTCAGGGTATATAAAAATCAATCTAATGCTGTGTCCTGTCAACTTTCTTCCAATCAAGATCATATGTGTTTGTCCAGGAAAATTAAAAAGCAGAGATAACTAAGAAAGATGGACATGCCTGCGAAATATGATGAGAAAATGAGTTGAACAGGTAAGATAATGGGCTTTATAGCTAAAGATGTAAAGATTTTCTCTAATCTTATAGCAAAATTCATCAATGTAGCTGTTCTTAAGCTGTAAAGACAACATAAGTATAATTAGTATAGAGTCTTAGACCATATTGTCATCCATATTTGAGTCATTAATATTTTGTTTCAAAATAGGAATAACGGATCTATGCAAGAAGTAGATGACTTGGAAACAAATGTATACTGTATTTCAATTCATTCTTAAATATAATCAGTTACACAACTACAGTAAAACTTGTAATAGTGAACACCTTTCTCTAGTGAACACCTGTCTCCAATGGACACCCTTTCTCTTCACATACTCTACTGACTTTTTTTGAGCTTGCTCACTCATCAAATCTCAGATTTTTCAGCATTTGATTCCCTGAAGGAGATGAGAATATTTTAGCAACTGATCAACCAAATATGGTTAGAATGGGCTTGAAAATAGTATCAAAAGATGCGGAATTTGACAATGCATGTCTGTGCCTTTCAATGGAGATAACAAATATAAAAGAAAATAAAGCAAAAAGTAGCAAATATATTGATTGGCCCTTGTACATCCTGTTATCAAATATTTCTAATTTAATAAAAAAGACTCTTAACCTGGAATTTATTTGTTAATTTTTTCAAAATATTCATCAAGATGGTCGTTGAAAGTGAGAGTACTGTAATTAACAACTACAATGCTGAGTTTAATATCTCATCAGTAGCCACCAGAAATTATAATCTTCACCACTAAGATCAAAACAAACAGAATTTGAATTTAATGTTTATTAATTATTTCAATGATAAATGACTTTACACACAAGTAAATTAATTATCAAGCTTGGGTTAGCATTATTGTTTAACTCCTGAATCCTTCAACAAACAAAGACGTATTGTTCATCACTCTTATTTTAGATCCAAATTTGATTTTGGATTTCTGTTAAAACACGGTTATAAATGACAACATTTTGCAGATGCAAGCAATGAATATGAAATAATATATTCAAGAAAAGGGACATGAATTGTGAACATGGATATCATATGTTGATCATTATGAAAAATATACAATATTTTCAAGGGTGTATACATTTAGAAGATTTATAGCTTCTTTCTATAATCAAATCTGTCATTTTCATCTTCAAAGATTTCTTTGTTACATTTTACAAATCTTCCTTCAATGCGGCCAGAATGTAATCAACGATATTATACTGAAAGTAGATGCTACGCATATTTGGGTTCATGATGCCATGAAAATAAAGTACGAATGAACACAAATTCATAAATATAATGATTTTATGTGTAATGGTAACAGTAATTGTTTTCAAACAGGTACATTTCAGATATACCGGTAGTCAATTTCATCGCACAATGGAATATTTTGATGATTTTGGTCAGTTGAAGGAGCTTTCAAAACACAAGGTGACTCTTACTTCAATGGGTTTTACTTTGTTAAGATTAAAAAATAAAATGATGAGATTTAACTTTGGTATTCCATGTTTGCCATATTGCGCCCAAAGCGACCCTTGTCACTTTAATTTTGGCACAATTTGCATGATGACATCACATGGTACGTGCCAAGTGGTAAATGTAGCTGCATTTATAGTCTAAGTAGCCTATGGAAATTAGGTTGTTCTGTGGAAGTTTTTAGTGGTTCTTATCTCATCCTAGTAAATGGAAGCTACTCACTGGCAGATGGAGTGATACGTTATGGGAGCTACTCACTTTGGCAGATGGAGTGGTGCATTATGGGACTTACTCACTTTGGCAGAGGAAGTGATGCATTATGGGAGCTACTCACTTTGGCAGATGAAGTGATGCATTATGGGAGTTACTCACTTTGGCAGAGGAAGTGATGCATTATGGGAGCTACTCACTTTGGCAGATGAAGTGATGCATTATGGGAGTTACTCACTTTGGCAGATGAAGTGATGCATTATATGGGAGCTACTCACTTTGTCAGATGTGATGCATTATGGGAACTACTTACCTTGGTGTCCTATCTGTGTAAGTTCTATGGTGGACAACTGAGGTCGTCCATTCCCAGGTACATTGATGTCAGAAGGGATATTCTGATACTGGATCAACCCTGTCAATCAGAGTGTGAACAATTTTAAGTATTAAAATCAGACTGATGATTACAACTATTTTGATTGAACTTTTATGTCATGTCTACACAATAATAATAATATCTAAATACTGCATAGGCAGCCATGGGGATTATCTTTAGGGGAGAGACACTCATAGGAAAGGCAGAATAGATAAAAGGATTCTCCTTGAGCAAAGGGGGCGACCAAATACCAGTATTCAGGGCTCCATTACTTATATATTGCAAATTATGTGCTATGAAATTGCTTATACAAGTATTGCCATTTATAAAACTACTATGCAAACTGAAATTAATTCAACGCAGAAAATTCTTTCAGAGAGAAAAAAGCTTTTAAAATTTTTTAGGTTAATTATTACATCATGGAAGGCCTAATTATTCAAATTATTAGCCCCATTGATTATGATAAAAGTTTGATGATTTACCTTGATTTGTATTCTGTATGAAATGAATAGGGTAGGGGTTCGCCTCCTCATATGCCGCCACTTGAGTATTCTCTCCACTAGGTGGCATATTATTCGGTTTTGACGACATTGCAGTAGAATAGCCACGGATGAGTGGTTCAGTGTACAAAGGAGTCGCCGATGGATGAACTTGAATATCTTGCTGAATTGGAAATCGATTCATAGCTGGTTGGACATGATAAACAATCCCAGCATGCTCTTGTTGCCGAGGTAACTGTTGCAGTTGTAATGATGTTGTTGGGTGACTATATTGAGGGGTCAAGGTTGTGTATGTAGTTCCCGTCGAACAAGTAGTAGATGGTTTTCTAGAGTTGTATGTTTCTAGCGTTGTGATTGTGATTGGTTGATTCTGTATTGGCTGTATTTGTGATGTCACAGGGGCATTGCGAGTCATGAGTCGTGACGTAAGTTCAGGATTAGTTTGAACAGCCTGAATGCTTGAATGCTGTATAGATTGCTGAGGAATGGGACCACTAACCAATCGAACAAGAGGCATGTTTGGTGGGGTGTTTGAAGTAAGAGCCGCTTGTTGGACTGGGGGTTGATGTTCAACTGAAGGAACAGCGGGAGATGCAGTTGTAGATGGCGCACTTGTAGTAGTAGTATCATACTGGTTCACTGAATTGTTATGAAGCTGTAATACAGCGATGGCCGTACTTTCCAAGATTTTCATAGTATCAACTTCTTTGTGTTGCCGCATATGACTCCGGAGAGAATCCTCCCGAACAAATGTTGCACTACATTCTGTACACTTGAAAGTTTGAATACAGCGTGGAATTTGCATTGATTTTGCACGTCCTCTTTTTCCTTTCTCCTCATCTTCTTCCTCCGAGGATACACCCATTTCCTGTTTACTCAACTCTGCCGTTTTTGCCATCTTTCCTTCCTTTACTTTGAAGATCTCAATTTTCTTCTTTGAGTTTTTGATTTTCCATTTCTCATTCTTTTTATCACCATGCTTTTTCTTCATATGGGCAGTGAGGTTTCCAGCCTGTCGTGCTGAATACATACATTGAGAACACTTGTAAGGTCGGTCTTCGTTATTAAGATGTGACCTTTTATGTACTTTCATAGCTTGGAGGGAGGTAGAGAAAAAATAACAGCCTTCGAATGTACACTTTGTAGGACGTGTGACTTCGTAGTGTGACTTTTTGTGATCTTTAATCATTCGTCGTGAGGATGTATGGAAATCGCATTGAGGACATTGAATGAGATTCTCCTCAGAGTGATTAATCTTCATATGACTTTTAAGATTCCCTGAAACAAGGAAAATAAAAATTTATTTGGATTCAATGATCAGCAATGAATTTTAGTGCTAGATGGCACCATTTGGACAAAACGCTTGATCAGTGTACATGGGCATATTGAATCGAATCATATGCTCACATTGGATTGGATCAGATGGTCACTCACATCAGACCAAATGGCCAAATCAGCTGAGCTCAAATGAGCACATTTGTAATAATACACGTACATCTCATAATATGAGAAGATTTTGAGGAAAGATATTTTCAGAAGCTTTACAAAGATACTGAAAATACATCTGTAAATTAGGAATGTTTTGTTTCAGATAATACCCTTTAAAATTATAGACATTTGTGCACCATAAAAGATATCATATACCATATAACAATTTAAGAAATTCAATTGGCTTTTATGAATTAACCTTTAATTCCATTGTGTTCAAGTCCAACTAAAATTACTGAATCCTAATCTATAATATCGAAAAGATGCAGGGTTCGTGGGTGGTTTTATCTTGTCGGGACTAAATAGATTAAATGATGTGTCGACATACGATCATGTCTCACACACATAAATATCAGCATCAAAATGAAAGGGGAGTTAATATATAATACCTCACGAGTGTACCGGTATATTAAATATTAAATACACCCCCAATGGCTTTAAATTACAAAGAGCTCAATAATTGTTTAATAACAGAGTGATAATCAGCCGGCCTGTGAGTCAATTTTGCACCTTTTTATTATAAAACTTAATATATTGTTTTTTCGCAACCAGGGTATAATTTAAAGAAAGCTAGATGTAAAATCTCATTAACTTCTAGTTAGTCATGTTATGTTCAGATATTTTATTCAGAGCGTTCAATTTGTCACTTTGTTTGAAATAATGACCGTCAATTGGCTTACCCTGTCGCAAATTGAACCTTATTGGCGATTATTTATATGTTGTTTGAATTGTTATTTATATCTCTATGCATACCATATAATATTTATGAGGCCATGTTTCATTTCAGAATGGACAAATGATAAAAATAAATGTTATTTTCAAATTACTTTCACCCAAACAAAAGCCATTAAATACAGCGGATAGGAGAAAGGATTAGCGCCAAATGTATTTGCGTAAAAAATCAGTGATTATAATAACTTTTTATTACGTTCTCAATTTTCCCGTATAATTGCTTCAGATCAGATGACATTAAAGTATATCAGATCATTGAATAATAATGCATTCCGCAATATCTATGTTATATTAATGACATCATGAGTACATTCAAATTAGTGAGGGTGCAATAGATTTTATTCAATAAGATATCATTGCTTTTTATACAATTTTTTAAATTGATAGTGAAGAGACTCAGTGATTCAGAAATTATAGAAAATTCTGACAAACATATCTTTAGAGGGTAGAACATTTTATGTATTTAATGAGAAATCATATTCAAATATTAAATGATGTGGAGTTGGATATCAGTATACAGTGATCTCCCCAGGAATTTTTCTCAGGTGGGTGCAAAATTGTCATTTTCCCAATTCAAACCAAAATTGGTCAAAAAAAATATGCCAATTTTTCATAATTTTCTCATTTTCAAGTCAGTGCAAATGGATTTTCAGGTGGGTGCAAGCCTATTTTCAAAATCTCAGGTGGGTGCTGCGCCCACTTGCCTTACTACTCGGGAGATCACTGGTATATATTTCTGAGGGTGTACACCCCCAATCTGCACTCTGAAATCACAGTACTGTTGGCTATGTATTCAATGATGCCCAGAGGGTGAGTATTTAGAGGTTATGTCACTATCGTGGCATATATGCCTGAGGTCTCAGTGATATATGGCCCAACCTTGGGAGGGACATTGATCTCTGAGAACCGAGGGCATATGTGACACGATAGTGACATAAACGATTTATAACACACCATTGATGATGTAGACTGGTCAGAGAGTACCGTTTTCTTATAGAATTGACAAACAAATGGTTTGAAAATGATTGAAATGAGTTTAGAAAAATTGCTCGCGCAGTTTTATCTTCTATTGATTGGTTATGACGTCAGCGCCTTGACCAATCAGGAAGTTTGCGGGTGCGGGCTTTTCAAAACTTATATTTGCCTGCTGTCTCGTGTACACTTTGCATTATACATCATCATAGGTATGTTATAAGAATTTGTTACATACCTTTAATGGCACACCTGTAATCACACATAGGACAGTGATATGGTTTCTCCCCAGTGTGGGTCCTCATGTGACGCTTAAGGTCAGAGTTGATCTTGAACTTTGCATCACACTGTTGGCACTGGAAGGGAGAATCCCCTGTATGGCACCGAAGATGCACTATCAACTGGCTGGAGTTCCTGCTGGCATATGGACAAATCTGACACCTAGATAAAATAAAATAAAGAGTTAGTTTTGCATTTAGCCGGCTGCTAGACCCTGTGGTAAAAGAAACAATAGAAATAAGGCACACTGGAAGGAGAATCCCCTTTGTGACACCGTAGATGTACAGTTGACTGTAAGTTTTTTACTAACATGTGGGCAAATCTGAAATCATTAGACATAACGAGGCATTAATATGCAAAATGTCACCACCTGCCATTTGTTACAGATGCAAAACACCAACCACCAAACACTGTCCACAAAACAGTTGTAGACTATAACAATATGTTATCACTTGTGGTGTGCATAAAATGGAACAAATGTTTACAAATGGGGGTAAGTTTGAGACAAGATATATGGCAACTTCAAACGTTTTCTTACAACACGTAGAATTATCAGTTATTATGCCATGCCACAGAATTTCTCACTGGTCTATGAGAGCATAACATGTTCATGTTGTAGCGTCAAAGTTGATTATGTGAGCACTGGGCATGTGCATTACAGGTCTGCCATCTGTACAAGTCATGGACCCAAGTTGATTAGATATGCTGTCTATAGATTTAAGACTTGCTATCTTTGGAGAAAATACTTTCTGTTAAGAATACATACATGTACATGTATAATGTGAGACTTACTTAAATGGTCTTTCATTGGTGTGTGTTCTTTTGTGTTTCTTCAAGCTACTGCTATCAGAGGCTGCATAAGAACCTGAAATTAAAAAAAATTGTCCTATACATTTCATAGGTAAGAGCATGGGCTTTCAAGAGACCCTTTATATTTGTATGCAACTACAATGCCAACAATTTACATAAGATAATATTAATGCAATTTCAATGCAAAACGTTATCATGACATTATGAAAACATATATTTTCCAGGAGCATAGCCAGCTTTCAGTCAGGGAAGAGAGGTGCGATCATGGCATAAGAGAGCCAAAAAACATGTTGTTTATTTTGAATTTTACAAGATAAATTCCTTCAAAATTGAGCTAGAAGCTTTAAATGAAAAACATTTTGTTCTATCTAATGGTTGTATTTTTATCAGTAATGTTTACGCCTATGCTTACAGCACAATAATTCAATCTCTATGTAAATTATGACCAGTTTTCTCATTTACAAATCATTTATAAAATTCAGAATACATGAACTTTATTCTAAATAATACTCAGTCTAGAAACATTTTTGGATTATAAAATGTGGAGGCACAAAGGGCAACATTGAAAATCACAGACATTTATCAATAAAGGGATGACTTAGTCAAACTGGAAAACACTTCTGGATGTGATCAGAATTTCTATTGTACTAAAAATTATACCTGAGAAATAAAAGAAATTCCCCGTGATACCAAATTAAGGGATATCTTTATTCTGCGAATAGCATAAGGGCCATTACGAGACATAAGGGGAATATTTTTCAAATTATTCTATTGGCTTAGATAATATGATGCTCAAAGCATCTTCTCTGATCATGAGTTATAAAGCATTGGGAGTAATCTTGTTCGTTCTGTATATAATACAGCAAGCCTGCCAAGTTAGAAGTTATTGCTGTAGTGCCCAAGGGTGAATTTTTAAAAATCAACACTCTGGAACCAAATAAATGAAAAAATTTTCCTCGCCCACAGGGGATCAGGGATATGTGATACCAGGGTCAGGGGTTTTATTTGAACTTCTGGGAACAAAAAATTACAGATAAACAAACGAAATAGACCGGAAAAAATAATTTTAAGACTGAAAGAGCTGTATAATTATTACTGCATAAGAGGCTCTTTTAGAAAACAAAAGAAAAAAACATGCATGTTTCCCTTGGATATATCCTGAAGAAAAGTTATTATGCTTTCTGAGAAATCATGAAAATGAACAAGAGAATAAAGTGTTTTACAAATGGTAAGAGGTATATAGATGATTAGGCAAACAAGAACGTTGATGTGTCAATTTTATTTCAATGGTCACACAAAACTGACACCCAAATGACGCGTAAAACTGACGATATGGCATAAGAAATAAATTTTGTCATTAAACGTTACAAATTATCGCATATGATTTCTTAAGGGTATTAATTTGATGGATTGAGTATTTAAGGATTGACAGATCATATAAATTTTGTCATTGGGTGTTAAGGAAAATACGCTTCTGTTTGACTAATTTTCTGTCGAAAGAACTCTGATGAGAAAAGATTTTTCATGTTATCAGTGACCATTATTTCAAATGTCTCTTGAAAATATATTCTGCATAATCTTGAAATATTGAATCAACTAGGGCATACTAAACTTAGGAGCCTACGAGGGCATATTTCACCAAAGAGAGCATATTTCAGAGAATTAGGTCAAATTGACCAACACCGGCATATTAACCTACCTAGGGTGTATTAAACCAATTAGGGGCATATTCACCCAATTAGGGCATACAAAACCAATGAGGGCATATTTCAGCAAATTAGGGCATATTGAACCAATATGGGCATATTAACGTACTTTGGGCATATTGAACCAACTTGGCCATATTAAGCTAATTAGGGCATATTATCATAGGTAAGGCATATTAAACCAACTAGGGTATGTTAAACCAACCAGGGCATATTCTGCCAATTAGGGCATATTAAACCAACTAGGGCATATTAAACCAACTAGGGCATATTCTGACAATTAAAATATATTTCCCATATTGCAAAATAATATCTTTATGAAATCAATAAAATTTTACCACCTGTGTTACGATTACAAAAGTGTAACAATTTGTTATAGATGCCAAAGCTGAAAACTAATGGCAGTAACAAAAACAGCGGCTATAACCATATGTCATCACATTTTTGGTGGTAACAAAAATCATAAGATCCCTTAAAAGCATCCACTGGTATTATTCCCCCATATTTGATTGCTATTTCAATATTTCATTGTTCTTTCATAATTGATGAGATACTAAAAAATATTGAACCAAATTATTTTCTTTCAGTGCATGACATGATTATTATACACTTGATTAAAACACAATGACACATTCATTAAATTCCTACTCATAAATCTGACTTATTCTTTGTATAGTTTTCATTTCTTAAATGTGACATAAAAATCTGACGATTTAGCAGTTTTCAATATATCACAATATCTTGACTATTAATCTTAATTTGAAATCCAGAATGCCATTTCCCCTTATAGCAGTTTCTTTATTTCCAAAGTTTCTTGGAAACCCTGATAAATACAAAATATAATAACTTGATAAAATACTATAATCATCATAGCGATTATGAACACTCAAATAAACAAACTCTTCCGGCTATTGAAAGTAACAAGTTAGCTAATAAGTCTGATTAACTGTCATTTTTTGAAAGGATTCACAATATTTTATTCCATCGAAACACAGAATAAATCTTTCCGATATTTATGAGGCAGTGAACATTAACTAAAACCTATAACTTTTCATATAACCCTACCCTGCGTTATTTTCTTATTATCATTGCAATAACCTTTCTCGACACAGTCACTACTTCTATACTCATCGGACCGAATATTCAGTATATATTTGTAAAGTTTATATTGATATTTTTCCAATGAGCACCATATTAATTGTCTATAAAATATATTTCGATGCAAGGGACTCCTAGAAGATGTTCTCCCAGTAATGAATAATTTAATTATCCCAAGACATGCACTGTATGCTAACCTATGTCGCAGGCATATTAACCCGTATTTGTTCCCATATTTAGTCAATAAATTTCTTCTATGCTCAGTTGAGTTTATCAACATATCTATTTATCAAATAAGAGTAAGAATTATCATTTGCAATCAAAGTTTTATTCTGAAATCGGCATACAAGAATGTATATTAATCATTTTGAATTGATAGAATACACATTCAACACTGTTGAAATATATATAATTAGCAATTCCAGTTGAATTAATATGCACTTTGATCTTATTGATGAATTAATAGTTGTATCATACTAAAGGTGGCAAATCCTACTGAAGAATGGTGCATCCTATTGAAGAATGGTGCATCCTATTGAAGAATGGTGCATCCTACTGAAGAATGGTGCATCCTACTGAAGAATGGTGCATCCTATTCAAGAGTGGCATATCATATTCAAATGTGGTGCATCCTATTCAGGAATGGCACATCATATTCAAAAGGGGTGCATCATTTTCAAGAATGATACATCCTATTCAAAAATGATAATACTATTCAAGAATGACACATCCTATTCAAAAGTGATATATCTTATTCAAGAAGGGTACATTCTATTCAAAAGTGACATATCTCATTCAAGAATGGGACATCTTATAACTGTGCATCCTATTCAAAAGTGGTACATCATATTCAAATGTGGTGCATCTATTCAAAAGTAGTATATCTTATTTAAGAATGGGGCATCCTATTAAAGAACTATACATCTTATTCAAAAGTGGTGCATCATGTTAAAATGTGGTGCATCCTATACAGGAATAGCACATAATAGTCAAAGGGGTGCATCCTATTCAAGAATGACACAGCCTATTCAAGAATGGTGCATCCTATTGAAGAATGGTGCATCCTATTCAAGAGTGACATATCATATTCGAATGTGGTGCATCCTATTCAGGAATGGCACATCATATTCAAAAGGGGTGCATCCTATTCAAGAATGACACAGCCTATTCAAGAATGGTGCATCCTACTGAAGAATGGTGCATCCTATTGAAGAATGGTGCATCCTTTTCAAGAGTGACATATCATATTCAAATGTGGTGCATCATATTCAGGAATTGCACATCATATTCAAAAGGGGTGCATCATTTTCAAGAATGATACATCCTATTCAAAAATGATAATACTATTCAAGAATGACGCATCCTATTCAAAAATGTATATCTTATTCAAGAAGGGTACATTCTATTCAAAAGTGACATATCTCATTCAAGAATGGGACATCTTATAACTGTGCATCCTATTCAAATGTGGCACATCATATTCAAATGTGGTGCATCTATTCAAAAGTAGTATATCTTATTCAAGAATGGGGCATCCTATTAAAGAACTATACATCTTATTCAAAAGTGGTGCATCATGTTAAAATGTGGTGCATCCTATACAGGAATAGCACATCATAGTCAAAAGGGGTGCATCCTATTCAAGAATGACACAGCTTATTCAGAAGTGGTATATCTTATTCAAGAATGATGCATCCTATTCAAGAATGGTACATCCTATTCAAGAGAGGCACATCATATTCAAGTGTGGTGCATCCTATTTCAGAGAGTTACATCCTATTAAAGAGTGGTGCATCCTATTCAAGAGTGGTGCATCCTATTCAAGAGTGGTTATATTATTCAAGAGTGGTACATCCTATTCAAGAATGATACATTACATTCAAATTTGGTACTATGTTTTATTCAAGAGTGGTACATCCTATCTAAGAATAATGCAATCTATTCAAAAGTGGAATATCTCATTCAAGAATAATGCATTCTATTCACGAATTATACATCCTATTCAAGAGAGGCACATCATACTCAATAGTGGTGCATTCTATTCAAGGGTGAGATATCTCACTCAGAATTCATGGTGGAAGACAAGGTGACATATCAGCTTCATATACTGGACAAGACTTTACCATAGATAGAAAGAATAGCCTTCTGAATAATTAGACCAATGAAGCAATTAATATTCAAAATGAGAACATTTGTATATAATGTCCATCTTTCTTACATAAAATAGCATTTAACACATTATCAGAGAGCACAAACGTTATTAGAGTGATGGAACTATAGACTCTATTATGAATCCTAGTGAATTAGTTTTAAACACTAAATATAGATGGCAGCAGTGCATTGTCAACGAAATAAAATAATAAACAGGAGACAATAAAATTACCCTTTGCATTCGTTTAACTTCACTTCTTAAAAGAGAGCTTCGTCTTCACTCTTTCAAACTAAAATAACCCTGTGAACTCACCGCGCCAATCAGTGTTCGTAGGCCAAATTTGACTGACGTTCTATATATGGTCATTCCTTCTGACGTCATCGTTGAGCCCGGAATTGACCAATGACATGCGCATATTTAATTAGAACGCATTTGGCATATGTTTCTTCAACGGCTAGCTGATTGGTGGAAGAAAGGTCAGCGCGTAGGTCAAAAGTGATTTATTACCAAAACTGTCACCGGTACCCATCGTAGGGGCGGGGCTACTAAACTGTAATATGGTCTCTACTAGGCAGATTGTAGTTTAACTAGACTCTGCATGATAGAGGAATTCGGATGGAATAATTTATAAGATATATTTTCCAGAGAGTGCTGTTTTAAGTATAATTGATGTCATTTAGCTTGGGAGATTTGGAAAGTCATTTTTATTTGTTAATGCACAATAGAACCTGTTTTTCTCATTCACCTCCTGACAGAAGTTGAGATGTTGAAAAGTCAATATTTGAAAATATTTTTCATTTCTTTTAACTTCATTTAAAATCTCACCTAAATGATTCAATTAACCTCTTGAAAACCGAGAGCTACAAAAAAACTTGCAACATGTATAGTCTATGATGAGATATTGAAATTGCTGAATTTGAAAAAATTAAAAATGCTCCGATATTCCGATGAGGCTAACAGTGAACTAGTTCTGACTATATTCATCATATTTTTGTTTATTTGGAAAAGAATCAGACCCACTGCTTATAACTCGGCTTCTTAAAGAGAGAATCAGATATAGCGAGCAGGCTAAACAAAAAATTGTTTCAATTTTAGAATATTTTTGGCTCATGTCATTCCTTGTCATGTCTATTTTCTAAAAATCACAAAATTGCATACTTTATTCCAGGAAAACTAAAGATTTTTACAATAATGTATTATTTTTCTATAAGAATGGTAACCATTCTTATTATTTGGGAGAATTTAAACATTTTTCACTCATTTTTGCACTTTGAATCATTAATAACTTCACCAATTTATAACAGATCGTGAATCTTTTGGGAGATATTGTATTTGATATTGTAAGGAATAGATTGATAGGTCAATTATACATGTTGCTTGTAATTTTGTCACCCCCTATAGATCAGATTCTGCCTTTAAAGTCAAAACTTGCAGAGCTATTTCTAGATAAAATAATCAAAGTATCACTGGAGAATTATTAATCTCTATTATATTTGACAAGCTAATTAAAGTGAGAAAAAGCCATAATGTCTGCTTCATTGGTTGGAATCGCAGGCCCTTAAATGCAAAACCAAGATTAATTCAAACGTGATGCCAAAACAGCACAAATTCCCACATCGTACATAACAATATCAGCATAGAATGACAACACAGTTAAAATATAAGATAACAGTTCCATTTTGTCTCTATTTCGAGGAAAGATCATGGAAATAAAAATTTCCCAAAAATTTCTGCAGGATTTTATAGGCACCAAGATGGTATATGGTATTGGAAGATTGGACATTACACGCAATACTGCAGTTAGCGATCTGGATGTTAGCCCGTATACAGAATCTAAATAACCTGATTGGTTATTCTTAATTATTGATACTATTTCCGATTATAGTTAATTATACTTCTTGCTGGAGTCAAATATAAGAACAGTTCTTTATTAAGCTCAAATTCTTGCATGTTAGACTTGATTCCAAATTTCATAGATCAATTCAAATATCCAAGAACTTTGTCAGATTTATTTCAGATTTTGGATTAGTTTCAATTTCTTTCTATAATCCAGGGGTTCAGGACAGTTTAATGTTATTATCGGTATATAAACTTATGAATGTTTTGTTTTTTGATGTTACATAAGCCATACAGCGTGACACTTATTGTATCAGATTTTCAAAATACCCAGTCTTAGGGATTATTTGGTAGTGTGTAAAGCTAATTCGAACATGACTGTATTCACGCCTTCTATAAACTGTAAACAAAGTCAATGCTTCAGCTGGGTTATATTCGAGATCAATAACCCAGTTAATACTTGTAATGTGTGACGTCATAACGGTGGGTCGTAGTAATGGCGGACCATGATGAATATTCGAAACAATTTGGTGAGTTTTCATGTTCGAATCGTAATATAGACCTCAGAGCAGGGGTAATATCGTCGAATACACCCCTTGGGGCTAGGCACAAAAGCTTTCGAACCCCTCACTCCCTTCGGTCGTTCAGGGTACAGAAAACGTTTGTGCCTAGACCTGCGGGGTGTATTCGATGATATAACCCCTGCTTTTCGGTCTATATTTCTTAAGTAATGATCAAACAAAAAATGTTTATATATACATGTACGGTATGCTTTTTACAAGAAGAAAGATTCATGTTGTTCTTCAACTGAAAATAATGACCGAGACATTAAAATATATGATACAGTGATGTCATATAGTAAAATACAGATTATTTATTTGATGGTGTGAAAATGCAGGATATATTTAAGCTGCATGGGCTATCATTTATAGTTCCCTGTCATTGAATAAATTCTTTTTCTGATCTTGGAATTTTTAAACTTAAAAATCCACAATTAACTCAGCACCATGTTGCCATCTATTGACAATCGGTTTTAACTGTACAATTTCACTGAAACAACCATCATAGACACATGCTTGTTCAATCAATCAATTAAATCAAAATTCAGGTAATTTAGTTTATATTTTATTTTTTAGATGGCATCTTTTGTAAATAGATATGTGGTAAATGAAAACAAGAAAAAACATATTTGTACCTTGCATTAACTATGAATAAAATACTTTATATGCAACCCTTTTTGCAAGCAGGATGGATATGCTTTAAATATAATTGCAACCATTTGCCATCTTTTAATAGAAATAGTAAGGAATTTCACAATACCTTTGACAATGTAATCCATAAAATTCTATCTACAGTGGATCTCAAAATTCCACAATGGAAGATGTTTCAATTGACTCAATCCAAAAGAATTTGTCAGAATAAATATACAGTGGGTGGTAAAAGGAAAAAACTTTTGAACAGGGTTCTTCCTTTCATGAACCCAGTGAAATAATTTAATATTTTCAGCTTCCATCAAAAATGTAAAAAGTGTAAATGAAAAAACACATATATCACCGAAATGTGTTTTTTAATTCTATGAGAATATGAGCTGTGAAATGATGAGCCAATTTGAGTTCTTCACACAAATAACCTTTGAACTCTAGAATTGGAAGCCATCATGACTTTTATTACTGAAAAATTACCAATAAAAGCAGAAACTTACATTCGTCACATTTGAATGGTTTATCCCCAGTATGGCCTCTAGTGTGGATCTTCAATTTGTCAGCTCTGTTGAAAGCCTTGCTGCATTCTGGGCACACAAATGGTTTCTCTCCAGTATGGATCCTGTTAATTAAAGCAACATACAGTTTGTCAAGGATATTAAAGCTCAGTATTTCTCTCCCATATATTGGTAGTTCTCTCCAGTATGGATCCTAGTAATTAAAATAATATATTGTTTCTCCCAGTATGGATCCTGGTAATTAAAACAACATACAGTTTGTCAAGTATATTAAGCACAGTTTATCTTCAGTATGGATCCTGTTGATTAAATCAATATATAGTTCCTCCCCAGTATGGACCCGGGTAACTAACACAACATACAGTTTGTCAAGTTTATCAAGCACAGGTATCTCCAGTATATATCCTGTTGATTAACACAGTATATAGTTCCTCCCCAGTATGGATCCTTGTAATTAACACAACATGCAGTTTGTCAAGTATATTAAGCACAGTTTATCTCCAGTATGGATCCTGCTGATTAAAACAATATATAGTTCCTCCCCAGTATGGATCCGGGTAACATACACAACAAACAGTTTGTCAAGTATATTAAGCACAGTGTATCTCCAGTATGGATCCTGTTGATGAAAACAGTATATAGTTCCTCCCTAGTATGGATCCTTGTAATTAATACAACATGCAGTTTGCCAAGCATAATAAGCACAGTGTATCTCCAGTATGGATCCTGTTGATTAAAACAATATATAGTTCCTCCCCAGTATGGATCCTGGTAACTAATACAACATACAGTTTGTCAAGTATAATAAGCACGGCATATCTCCATTATGGATCCTGTTGATTAAAACAATGTACAGTTCCTCCCTAGTATGGATCCTGGTAATTTACACAATATAAAGTTTGTCAAGTATATTAAGCACAGTAGATCTCCAGTATGGATCCTGTTAATTAAAACAATATATAGTTTCTCCCCAGTATGGATCCTGGTAATTAACACAATATACAATTTGTCAAGTATAATAAAGCTCATGTATTTCTTTATCAAAATCATTGCCTATTATCATTCATGTACTTTAATTGTCTTTCACAATGTATGACAATTTTGTAAATAACAATCTTTTACTTTTCTTAGGTAATATTGACTTGTATGGAAATAAAAGTTAAACATAATAATTAATCATTCATAAAAGAATCAGACTCGACTTCTTTGTTATCTTTCCATGGTGACTTGAGTCATAGCAAAAATACCTGATATGTCTTTCGAGATCTTTCTGGTAAGCAGAAGTGAATGGACAGTTCTCATAATCACACTTAAATCTGCGATGTACTGAGCTACGGGGTGTGAAGTTGTACTTGGGCAGTTTGTTTTCTGGATCTGCTGTTGCATCCATGGTTGTTATTGTGATGCTAGAGTCATTGATTTTAGTCTCTAAAAGATTTGATTAAATAAAGAGATAGTATAAGTGAGTCAATAGATGATACAAGATGATTTATAATATGAATATCATCATCACTTTTATGAATTGAACTTTACATGACCACTGAGTCAGTCTTTAATATAGCCTTTAAAATCAAAATGTATTTTTTGTACAAAATACCTAGAAACAATACAGGAAAGAAATTAGCAGGACATTTACCTTTGGGTTTGACCTGAGTTGTTTCCAAAACCTCAGACCCAATGAGAGATTTATGGAGCTCTTCAATGGGCAAAGTGAGGTTAACAGTTTGCCCAGTTGCATCTGTTCCAGTCACTGTCACTATAACAACAAGGTAGCATTAATAACATGAAAATGGCACAACTTGGTTAAAATTGCAAAAGGGAAACAACTTGTTACAGACACTGATTGATAAATGTTAGTCACAAAAATGTTGGTCATAACAGTATGTCACTCAGTCTGAAACTCAGCTGAGAAAACAATTCAGATTAAAATTATACACTTTTTAGTTTTTTCATTTTGTATAAAATCATTATTGTATAATAGACAAAAGATACATGTATACCATTTAATTAATTAGTGATACCTACCATGTGTACCTGTTTCCAAGACCTCATTGGCAGCTACATTGGCAGCTTCATTGGCAGCAGCTTCGGTAGCAGCAATTGTTGATTTGATGACTTCATCAAGTGTAGCACCAATATTTGTATTGACATTTTCTTCCATTGCTACAACAGAAGAGAATATGAAAAAGTTAGAAGGAGCAAATTGACTGGATTCAATATTTACTGGAATTTTTTTTTTTTCTAAATGGAAACAAAATAAAGATTTATTCCAGTTTAGTGCAACACTAAATGAATTATACTATCTCGTTTAATGTAATTGTGTCATAAAATCATTACTGTACCTTTAACACAAGAGTCAGAATCTGGTAGTGATCTGGATGTGATCTCAACAGGATTTTTGCTCAAGTGGGTGCAAAATTCTCATTTTCACAATTCAGGCCACAATTGGTCAAAAATATGCCCATTTTTCATGATTTTTCTCATTTTCAAGAGGGTTCAAATGGATTCTCAGGTGGTGCAAACCTATTATTAAAATCTCAAGTGGGTGCTGCACCCACTTGCTTTAATGATGGGGAGATCACTGATACATGTAGATAAATAAAACATGAATTAAATCTCCCAATTTAAAAATATCAATGGATGACAAAATTATCGCATCTGATCAATACAAGTAAAGGTAAATACATCTCACCTGTTGTAGTTTCTGTGCTGCCTTGTGTTATCATATCTGTTCCACTGATTTGTTTCTCTTCAGCTTGTGTCATCACCTACATAGTGTATAAACATCATAAATTATGTGATGCAATACATAGGGACAGGATGGCCAACATTGAAGGGGGTCTGTTAAGGCAAAGGGCTCAATACACAAGGTAAAGGGTAGCATGTGAAAATACAATTTCGCAATACAAACTTTTAAGCTTTATAAGCTACATCAGAGGTTGAACCAGGATAATGGGTCAGATATTTTTACATGGCAGAATGAATATACATGTATCACCTTGGACTTCCTTGGATGAGAGACTAAATAATTAGGCATGACTTGAAGGGATTGCATTTATGTGAGGCCAGATACATGTAGTAAGGTATGGCTATGGGCATTTTTGATAGGGAGGATGAATAGTGAAATATGGAAATATGGGTCAACCTTGGATTAAAGGCAGAATAGTAAGTTAAGGCATGGGCTTTCAACTAGAGGCCCATGGTTAAGGACATGGGCTTTTTGGACTTAGATTTTTGATGCTTATTTGTATATCTTTTCTTACTTACGAGACCTCCTCCTCAATAACCTCTTACCTGGGGGACATTGACAGTTGAGATAGCATCCATCGATACACCAACACTTGGCACGGAGATCTCTTCCATTGTGGTATTGTTGGACACCTGTAGATCTATGGCCTTTTTCTTCTTACATCCTTTACGTTTATGGCTGACATATTTCTCAAGATCAAGGAATTCCATACGACATTTTCCACAAATGTGTATGTCGACTTCTTCTTCCTCCATTGCTAGAATGAATATGGTAAAAAGATTATTATAGGCTTATTGAAGGGCTACTGGTGAAGCTTAAGAAAAGGTGTGCACAAAAGAGACAACATTTTCTCTTTGCCAAAATAGATCCTGCATCTCTAACTGGTGTTATCTTCACTTACATGTATTATTCTGTGAATAAATCCTGAGTCAAACAATAGACTCCACGCCCAATGAGGGGAGTACTAACTCCAGTGGGCCCAGTGATAGACCCAGGGACCTGATCACAGATCCATGTTATATGACAGGGTTCAGGCCCGTAGCCAGGATTTACTGGGAGAGCGGTTTTACCAAGGGAGGAGTTTTTTGCCAAGGGGGAGCTTTTGACAGTTTTGGCAAAAAAATCATGCAAAAAGTGCTCAGAATGGTGAAAACTGCACGATTTTGAAAGAATTTCTGGTCAGGGGGGAGTGGCCTCTCCCTCTGCCCGCCCCCTGGCTACAGGCCTGGGGTTACAGAACAAAGGGGCATTCTCGCCCATGGGCATTCCTAGAAAAACCACGGATAGTGGGAAGTCCTCCATCTATCTAGGAGGTATATACACCGAGAAATAATATAAGTGATATATGTAGGACTTCCCACTATCCGTGAGATAAACCCTTGGCATCAGGTGAAAATTTGCAGCATTGATAGACTCTATAATGTCATCATCGTATTGATAAAGAAACGATGTGTCTAATTTGAAGTTTCAATAAAGAAATCATATAAATTATAAAACAAAATATTGAATGATAAAGGAATGATGTGTCTAATCTGAAGTTCCAAGAAGAAATCATATAAATTAGATCTATAAAACAAAATATTGAAGATCAAAAATAGTCTACCCCATGTTTGAGGGGTTTTACATGACATTGAATGCGAGCCACCAAACTCATCACTGGCATGTCTGATCTACCCTATGAAGAGCGACTAAAACAACTACACCTATTCCCAATGACATACAGGAGGAAAAGAGGAGATTTAATCCAAGTTTACAAGATAATGAACAGCATAGATAAGATAGAATCATCCCACTTCTTTACCCCAAGCCACACCAGCACAAGAGGCCACAGCCAGAAATTCTTTAAAGGTCGATGTAATCTCGCCCTACGACAAGGGTCCTTCAGTCAGCGCATAGTAGACGACTGGAACAACCTCCCAGAAAATGCAGTATCTGCCCTGACGCCAGATGATTTTAAAGCAAAGGTCGACTCCCACTACCACCCAGACATGTAGAAGACAGACCTAGGATGACCAGTTTACACTAGATTCTGTCCATGTTTTGATTCAAATTTGATGCAACCCGTCACTTTTAAAATAATCAACACAACTACAACTGTCTTTGGGAAATAAAATACCAAAGAAATTAAAACTGTCAATAAAAAAATGTCATGTAACAAACAAATGATCAGAAGGGAGGATAACACAGGATTGCACCTCACCCTCCTAAATATGATGATGATTATGATGATATGCTGGGATAATTGTAAAAAATTGCTTTTCTTGCAACTGTGCAAGTAAATGGCAATAGTGTCAAACCTCGAATCGGACCTCGATTCATGAGGATGCCTAAGTTTATTTACAAACATCGCGGTACTTTGATCATTTGGGGATAAATCATGGTAGGGGCCAGGCCCTGAACAATCCGAACATGAAAACACAAAGTACCAACTTTTCAAATCGGATTAAACCTACTTAATATCATGCAACGGGCCATTTTATTTACTCACATGATTCACTAGGATCTTTTCTATTCGGATCCGCATCCATTTTGGATATCTGTACAGATTCACAGAGAATCTAACGTTCTTTATTATTAGCAATTTTCGAAATCCACAATGAATTCTGAAAATGGAGGCTGCGCGGATATTCAGTGCGCAGGGCACCTGCTTATAGTTATGGCTAATCGATCAACCGGGCAATCCTACCAGAACCCTACCTCAAATACAGAGATATTTCAAATACCTTTACTGCTCTAGCATCATAAAGTCAGTCACAACTTTCATATTAAATTATAATGTCGAATAGATAGCATGACAGTAACTGGACAACGGCAACAATCAATCTTATATCATTGATCGAGTATATAAGGATTTCCCGGATGACGTCATTGGGGTTCCCCTTTCCCTATGTCAACAAAATATACGTAAAATTGAAGAAAATCGTAGTTTTCGTCGTATAAATCGTTGTTTTCGTCGTATTCTAGTCTTTACTCATGGCTGAGACTAACATGACTAACATAGTCTCAGCTCATGGTAAGTTTGTGCATGATACTTATGCAATGACAAATGAAACTAAATCCACAAAGCAAATATGCATGGGCTCTATCAGATAGGGGGTAGAGCCCATGAAATATGTTACTTCGTTTTATAGCAAGTCAGTCTTTAGAGGTTATGTCACTATCGTGGCATATATGCCCGAGGTCTCAGTGATATATGGCCCGACCTTGGGAGGGACATTGATCTCTGAGAACCGAGGGCATATGTGCCACGATAGTGACATAAACGATTTATAACATACCTATGATGATGTAGACTGGTCAGAGAGTACCGTTTTCTTATATAATTGACAAACAAATGGTTTAAAAATAATGAATAATTGAAATGAGTTTAGAAAAATTGCTCGCGCAGTTTATCTTCGATTGATTGATTATGACGTCAGCGCCTTGACCAATCAGAAAGTTAGCGGGCGCGGGCTTTTCACAACTTATATTGGCCCGCTGTCTTGTGTACACCTTGCACTATACATCATCATAGGTATGTTATAATATTGGATACAGACCATGGGGGGATTAACTCCAGAGTTCAAAGATGACATAGGCTTATAGTAAACCTGTATTGAGATGACAAACACCTCTGATTGGTCCAAATTGATAAACACAAATGATGGATTCAAAATTTTCTAATAACGCTTCGAATAATATTATCTAATTCCTGGCATGTTAACCAATATTGTAGCTTCTTATTTCACATCAAGATAAAGAAAGATGTAATGAGTATGCTTACATCGATTAAAACATCATGACGAAGTGTTATATTTGAAAACTTAATGATGAGATTGAGAATTTGCGCAAACGAAGGTGGTATGCAAGAGACGTAACACAGTCAGTCGTCGCTAAAGCTCTGGGGCTTAGATACAGACTAGAGCTAGAGGACACAATGACATCATTGGTTCGAATCCCAAATTCCTAATGGTCCAAATCCCATTGGTCTGAATCCCAATCGTCTGAATTACTATTGTTCAAAACCCTGAAATCTGAATCCCAATGGTCCAAATTTACTTTATTCACACAAAGCCTCTAGCGTAGCCAGGATGAAGTAGAAGAGGCACTTCCCTCCTTGCCTTGTCACTTTTTTCTTCCTGGTTATGCCACTGAAACCATCTCCAGAGATGGCTTTTTGAAAATAAAATAAGTCAAACTGAATGCCGCCATGTGCCATGTAACCCTTAATTTTGAAATCAAAATAATCATGATAAAGATGCAGGACATGTGCACATGGGCTTTCAAGAGGAGGCCCATGATGTGCATAAAGAAAATAAGTTCAAATGATAAGAGTTGCATTTGAACCAGGGCTGTCAACTTGGGACCACCTAATATGAGTGACTTACAAATGTTGGACACCGGAGTCCAAATCTGAACACTTTTGTCCAAATTTTGTACGAAAATTTCCAATGAACATGCGTGACATATACGGGATTCGCGTGACAAATCCGAACAAATTGCGTTCGTTTTTTTCCGACGTTCGTATTTTTACCGTATCATAAACATATTTTGAAAAATTTTTTACAGAAACATATTTGCGTGACAATTACCAGGTAAAATGCGTATTTGCGTGACATTTTGTGTCACGCAAAAAAAACTGGCGTGACTTCAAATTCTTCAGCAAATGCGTGACAAATACGCAAATTGCGGGACAGTTGACAGGCCTGTTGAACTCAGCGAATTATGAATATCTACATAGTAATATAGGCGGCAACTTTCGACCCCCTACTGGCACTGGAACTTGTGCAGCATGGTACACCCAGAGTGATGTCATAGGTCACATAGTAAGATGGTGCACCGGAAGTGATGTCATAGGTCATGTGGCAGGCCTGTCAACTGTCCCGCAATTTGCGTATTTGTCACGCATTTGCTGAAGAATTCGAAGTCACGCCAGTTATTTTTGCGTGACAGAAAATGTCACGCAAATACGCATTTTACCTGGTAATTGTCACGCCAAAATATTTCTGTAGAAAAATTTCTAAAAAAGATCGTCTACACAGCAAAAATACGAACGCCGGAAAAAAATGTACGCATTTCGTTCGGACTTTTCACGCGAATTACGTATATGTCACGCATTCCGTTCGAAATTTTTCGTACCTACCGATAAGGTAATCAAACAAACCCTGGTATAAAAGGTAGATGGAACAGCCCATAACAGCCAAATATGGCAGTTTAAATGTCCAGTTCAAACAAATTGAGAAATTTTGTGATAAGCTAAAAAAATTCTTCAGAACAATTTCGACCAACCAAAGTTTGTTGTCATGGTTTTATAACTTGCAGACAGATGTTTACTTAATAACAGATGCAAGAAAGGGTATCTCAAGTCATCAGACGCTATATTATTTAGAATTTTATGATATTAAATGAAGAAGCAATTGCAATTATTTGTTTATAACTCATTATTGGACAGGGTGGTCAAAAAATGGAAACCCTTTTGCCATTTTCCTCATATCTTTGTCATTTTAAGAAATAACTCCCTGATATTTTACACATTTGTACATCATGCAATCTCCTACCATGGAATTTCATGACCATCAGATTGATAGGCACAATGTTACAACGTTTTAAAGAACATGCCCCAGTGGCCACTATTGCGCTTTAGACCAACCTGCACACATAGTCCAAAATTCCCCTACCTTTGGGGATATAGCAAAGATAGAGTGTATATGAGAATGACCTCAGGACAACTGCAGGCCTCTGAGGTGAGATCATTCATGTCGTTCAGGCCATACCTGCTGAGGAATGCATCCAGGTCATTGACAAATGTGCAGGTTTGACTACAGGGCGATATTGCTCAAACCTGAAGCATTTTGTTCAAACTGCTGTAAAATTGTGACTATCACTCTGATGGTCATGAAATATAGCAGGGTGGTAGGAAGGTGAATGATGTACAAATGTGTGAAATATCAGGGAGTAATTTCCTAAAATGACAAAGATATGAGGAAAATGCAGGCTTTCCATTTTTGACCACCCTGTATCTTGAGTATATTCAGTTATAATACCCCATCATGCTTGAGTGATTTCAACTCATTTTTGGATTTTAACAAATTTTATTATAAAATCGACACTTGATACTTATTCATTAGACATATTAGAGTATTTTTTGTTGTCACGGTTGTCAGTGATTTTGACTCATTTTTGGAGTTGGAGGCATTTTTGAGAATCTTCACCAAATAGACACCCACTATACAAAATAACACACTTTCTTGCACATCTGTTAATTTTGATACCACTATATATGGACTATCACAAGATAAAATGATAACATCAACATTGATAAGAGAGAGGTTAACTGATAAGACAAACAATCACTATTAAGGTAACCTGCTGGCCATGGGATAAGCTATCTGTCAACTTCTTGTGTTTATCACTTTAACAGTCTATGATGTAGAACTATGGTGAAAAAAGCTTATTCATACCTTTAATTTCTTTTTGAATTCAATAAATAAACTCAGCTTGTAACAATGAAATGATAGGGATCCATAATAAATCAAAGGAAACAGTAAATACTGGTCAAAATTACAGATGGCTTATCACATGATCACCAGGTTACCTTAACAGTGTTTGTTTGATTATCTTATCAGTTAACCTTTCTCTAAACAATTATCAGTAACCTTTGACAAGTTATGTCACTTCTGGTGCACCATGTAACCACATGACCTCTGACCATAGTGCACCATGGTGCACAAGTGTCGGTACGGGGTCGAAAGTTACGGCCTATACTACTCTCCTGTATAATATTAATTTAGACATCTCCATTGAAAAATATGGTAAAATAATCATTAGTGTTATTCCAGGCGGATTGTATACTTCAAAGGATCAATGAAATTTAGAAATCACTATTTGATAGCGGGATTGCTGCTGAAATTGTTAACGAGATCTGTAGCAGTGACACCTAGATTTGTAACCATGGCAACATCCTGCCCAATGCCATCTTCAAATGCTTTCAAGGATATCACATCTTGCGCCAAAATTATGGATGACTTTACTCATAACACTAAACTTGATGTCTTGCAAGATCAACCTCGTCGATATTTATGGACAGATGCTTTTGCAGTTTGTAACTTTATTCAGCTTTATAAAGATACAGGTGTAAAGCTTCATCTTGATCGAGCGATCAGTTTGGTTGACCAAGTACATCATACGTTAGGCCGGTTTAAATCTGAAATAGATAGCAGGTTGGGATGGATCAGTGGTCTGGATGAAGAAACAGGAAAGTTGCACCCAACTCAAGGTGGTTTGCGAATTGGAAAATCCATGCTGGAACGAGGTTCTCATGAGTCGTATGATGATGAGCTAGAATGGGACAGGGATGGTCAATACTACCACTATGCTACAAAATGGATGCATGCATTATTATGCGTTTCCATGATAACCAAGGATGACAAGTATGTGATATGGGCTGAAGAACTTGTCAAGGGAGTTCATTCAAAGTTTGTATACAAATATGGGTCAACGTTAAGAATGTATTGGAAAATGAGCATTGACTTGAGCAGACCACAAGTGAGGAGTATGGGACACCATGATCCTTTGGACGGACTAATAACATACAGAGCTATTAAAGCTGCTCGCCCAAATGCTGACATCGATTCTGAAATTTCTGACTTGGAAAAGATTTGTGAACACAAAGACTGGAGTACAGATGATTCTCTAGGGCTTGGCAGTCTTCTCTCTGATGCATTAAGACTCATGAAAATTATCTGCGTTACAGAGGATTTATCTGGGTTGCCACTCTTGAAGAAAATCCTTGAGGATTCGAACAAAGGACTGAAATCATTTGCGCGTCGTGGATTAAAAGGAAAAGCAGAGAGGCGATTAGCATTCAGAGAACTGGGTCTTGCAATTGGGATGTCCGCTGTTCCATTAATGCAAAGTTTGATTGATGGAAACCAGCGAATTTTTAACCAAGATCCATCTATACAGAAACTGGTGACAGAGATGAAACAATACATGGAACAATTCAACCATGATGTTATTACATTCTGGCTTGACCCGAAGTCCCAGAAATTTGGAAGCTGGACATCACACTTAGATATCAACATGGTTATGCTAGCTACTAGCCTTAATTCTGGTGGATTTTTGCAATAATAGACTGTTTCAAAAGTTGCACTTATTGTTTGCCTTGGTGTCATTTACAGACACTTCATATTAATTAAGATTCCTAAATAAGTTTTGTTACTATGGAAACAATGATGTACAATTTTGTACAATTAAGAGAACAATAGGCTTTGGAATTCTAAACTCATGAAATTTCTTGTTAATGACCCCCCTGGCATAATAATGGTCCTATTTGGGTGGACTACTTTTACACCAAAACTGGAAAATGCCATTTATTCATTTTTTCCATTTTGTTAAATAAAATAAGTTGTGTTAAATGTTCACTAGCTGATGTAATGTCATAAAATTCATCTCAAAGTTGCCCTTCCATATCTGTATCAGACTCGATGAATTGTTTATGATTTGAACAATGTGTGTCTTGTCTCCAGATTTTGAATGAGGGTGGTAGCCCCAAGACTAGGATACAAGACATGAATGGATTAAATCATCCACAATTCATTGAGTCAAGGGCTTAAATTCCTTTCTTACATTATAAAAGATTTTGTACTTAAAAGAATGATTTCTTTGCAATGTAACCTTTTTGCAAGGGTTTTTGTAAGGTTAAATGGTCAAAACCGACCATTTGATATTTTGACCTGCATAAGCATTTGGGTTGCAATTTCTCATGATACTATTTTATGTTTTCATACAACTGTTTTCAACTACAACTGAAATCCATGAGGATATTCAAATTCTCAGAGTCTGAAAAACGACATGCACTTGGTTGTAATTTTAAGGATGATCTATCATATCTAGCCATGTGTGAATTATCCTTTAAGAATTTCTTGAAAAAATATAATCAGCTTGAATTGTCCCACGAGCATTTTCTTTAAATAACTTAATCAGCTTGTGATATTGATTCCTTGAATTTTGGAAAGATGGTTTGAGTGGGAAGGGGTGTTAGCCATTGTTTTTTTGCATTGAATTGTAGATTGGGGGATATTGGGGGTTTGTTTTCCTAATGGCTAGTTGTGCTCTAAGAGATTTTTCTCTCTTTTTTGAATATGCTTGGTCTTTTATATTTTTGCAAAGGTGCTAATAACATACATGTATGTGACAAAAATCAGTAACATATGTTTAAGAAAATGTACACATTTGCGAACAAATAGTTCAGAAGACAACAGAATCGTCGATTAAATTTCTCACTTAGTTACAGAAACGGTATTTCGAAAAACAGTTAAGATCTGCACTTTTAACCCAAACCGTTTCTGTAACTTAAGTGAGGAATTAAATCGACGATTCTGTTGTCTTCTGAGCTATTTTTTCGCAAACATGTACATTTTCTAAAACATATGATACTGATACACGTTTGTGAGAAAAAACGTCGTGGGGATTCTGCCTACAACGCGTGAAATAGTGAAAAAAGAAAAATTCGTACCTTCGACGTTCCGACATTTTGTTACCGAAACGACCGTTTCGGTAACCAGCGTAATCGAGTGAATCAACAGTGAGTATTTGATTTCAACAGATGATAAACTTCTCATTATTAGAAATAACCCTCACAATGGCATTGTTGCAAGGTGTGACATGTGGCATCGGATCCCTATTCTGTATTCTCGACGAAATGATATATTTGCATGGAGGAGTAACATATTGTCTATAATAGCAGTATAGAGCCACGAACTTTTACATAAAACCTTTCACGTATACCCGCATCCATTCGCTCGGCAGCGAACGATGTTGCAGTTCGAAACGTATAAAAAACACATACGTTTACTATGAACGAGATTAAAGACCTTAATTGTGTGCTAGTCTATTCTGTATACTGTACTAATCGTGAATTAAAAAAATGTGAATTGAACGAGTGAAATTAAAAATTAATGTGTATTTTATTTTCCCCGGGGTTAACGACGGTTAACCGGTTAGTAATTTTTCAATACCGGTGAATGCTCAATGCCGTACAGAACAGGTAATAGTATGGGGAGTTTAAGCTTGCATATAAAATCGAAACGCCAACCTATACGTATGACCAATCGCCCATACAAATGCATCGTTAAATATTTTCCGTTCACGTTTAGGGTGTGAAAATCATTGCAAGCTTAAACTCCCTATTAACTCAGTCTGTAGTTAATATGAGGTGTCATACACGGTCTCATAAGCACATATCAGTTATCGAGATATTGAAATCTGTTAATCAATTAACAAAGGGATATGACGTTAGCAAGTAAACAAGACATCTGCGAAGTGTCATATCCTTTTAGTGTCTCAATGCTATAAAAACAGGCAGTTTTAGGTAAATCATTAATTTGTAATACGCAAGACATTTGGACATACTGAACTTAAACAGGTAACATAAACTATTTTGTTCATTTTAATTTTTCGCCATAACAAACAGGTAAGACTTTCAAACATTTTCTAAATGCATATACTTAGAATTAGAAAATATCGAATCTTTTATATTTCTTTCATAAGTGAAAATGAAGTCAGGTCAGAGTATTAGTGCCAAAATTGATATCGCCTATAATCATCAAAAGGTCAATGTTGACCTGTTAACGATCAAAATGTATCACTCAAAATCATACAACATCACAGTCATATAACTAAAGCTATGCTTTGTATTTTCTAAATCATATATTTTACATCATTTACAATTTTCTGCAGATAGCCAATAAATCACAAGCTATGATGCGACAGCGAATCTCCGTGTTCTTTATGTGTGCATCAATCCTAAATGTCAAGGCTGTGCCACCACGATGCACAAGAGCTGATATCAAGAAGCTGAATAGCACAGTAATTACCTCGAAGAGCGAACTAACAGAGGCATTTAATAGCAAATTACAAGTGATCAAGAATGACATAAGATCCGAACTAGCCAATGAAATTGGCAATCTCTCCGACAAACTTACCAATGAAATAAACCAAAATGAAGAAAAACTGAAAATTGATGTGAATATTGTGAATACTGAAGTGCTTAAAGTAAACAATAAACTGGACCAGATCAAAAATGACATCAAAAGAGAACTGAATGATGAAATCGATCAGCTGACTGGAAGTATTAATCAAAAATTCGATGATCTGAATAAGAAGCTGATTGAAGCATTCAACAGTACACTAGTTCAGATGAAGAATGATATCAAAGATGAACTTACTACGGAAATCAATCAAAATGAAGACAAGCTGAATGCGGTGAAGACACAACTGACAAAAACAACTACTGAACTGAGTGATTGTGTATGTGAGAGAAAAAGACGTAAGTCCAGCGATTTGTTGTATACTCCATAATTTTGATTGACACATACTAATCTCAGTCATACAGAGTGGGCCAAAAAGTTTTAACCAAAACAAATGTTATAACTCCATCATTCAACATGTGTGTAATGTCATATTTGGCATATTTAAACCTTGTTCAATGGTTGCATGTTTTGCATCATGGCCATAAAATCGTTACTATTGGAAATAGAGCAATGGAACTTGGTTATATGAAAGAAAATTGAACCAGGTTTAACTTTTAGGTCGAATAAATTTGAAACCCATGCATGCTGGATGTTTCAGTTAGGCATTTGTTTGGGTTACCTTTTTTGGCTCACTCTGTAGTTACATGTACTTAAAATGCCGCGTTACACGTGAAGTTAAGTCCGATAGGGTCCCTTTGAGTTTAGAAGCAATGTATAAAAGATGGACATATTTCTGTGTTGGCAATTAATCACAAATGTAACATGTACAATCATTATTTTACAGAGAGAAGTCTAATCTACTATGCTGGCCCTTACATCTATACATTTGCCGCTGCAAAGGCATACTGTAAAAGTAAGGGTCACAAGATAGCCACACCAGGCCAATTAGACGCAGCGTTTGCATTAGGGATGGAGTCGTGTGCTTGGGGATGGGTTGAAGATGGAAGTCTTAGGTTTCCACAACAGATGCCATATACAAACAACAGGGGTGGAACACGTGGATTAAATACTGAGCTGAATTACAATCCATCAGCCAAATATGGAGTCTATTGTGCTACAAACCCAGGTCCATAACAGTAACATTACACAAACTAAGCAACAGTATTATGATGTGCAATTGAATCAAACGCATGGACTGCATCAGTGCCTCATGATGAACTATGGAATATCATAACTGTATACAGGGTGGCCCATATTTTCTTTGGCGATAACGTCTTCAATTGTAAATATGTTTTTGCTTAAGATTCAGTAATCAATATTGTACTTGTCTGAAATGGACAGCATTGGTTTCTGACTGTAAGGATATATTCTCAGCAACAATTACACGGATATATTGGTCATATCTCAAATTATCGTATGATCTGTAAAATGAAGCCGTCTGATTGGTCAGTTCTTGTGCTGTACCAATCTGTATTGCTACTGAGATTGTCCCCGTTGATCATCATCGCCGTCGCAATACAGAAAATATTGGTACGGAGGGGACAATCTCAGTAGCAATACAGAGGATCACACGATAAAAACGTTATTGAAAGATTTGAAGTGCAATACAGGATATATTCTGTCTCGATATTCTGTATTGGCACTCGACTTCGTCTCGTTCCAATACGGAATTTCTCGAGCAGAGAATATATCCTGTATTGCACTTCAAATCATTCAATGACTTATAATATTGTTTTTATTTAATTGTTTTGTAGCGCTTCAGTTCAGTTTTTATACAGTTGAAAAAGGATCCAGATAGGATCCGAAGCGTCCTGTTTAGTAAAATAAAGGTTGTGAAAAGAAGAAAAACAGTTTTGTAATATTTTTAGCAATATCAAATGAAAGATGGCGATGAGATTCATTTTACGTTCTTCATTCACTTTTTCGTGTGTCAACCAAACCAAATACGTCATCTTTTAATTCAAAGGTGATTTATAAACAATTAGTGAAAACATGGGCTATCAAGAGAGTAGATGAGTAAACAGAGTAATAGAACGATTGGAAGAGTACATTTTTAATCATTTTAAAATCACAATAGATTTACTCTTGAAAGCCCAAAGCCGATCTCTGAACTTCTCATGTTGTTATCTAAGTGAAGCTTTGTATAAGATTGAATTGACTGTATGAGAATGAGTAAATTTTTCCATAAATGTTGTTCTTCTCTAAAATAATTAATAAGATTTATTTGTAAACCTTAAATCAAGTTTACTAGCTCAAGTGCTGTCATGCACGTCTCTAAGTCGACCCTACTTAACTGTACCCTGCGTGCAGAGTCTAGTTAAACTAGAAGACGAAGCTCTCTTTTAAGAAGTGAAGTCAAACGAATGCAAAGGGTAACTAAACGAATGCAAAGGGTAACTTAACTGTATCCCTATTATTTTATTTATCCATAAAGCATTTTTTGAAATTATATGATCAGCAGTATATGGCATGCCTTGAAAAGGTTTGCAATATTGTTTCCTAAACGATTCGGAAGTACCCTTTGCATTCGTTTGACTTCCGGCTTCTTAAGAGAGAGCTTCGCCTTGGTTTGTAACTAGACTCTGAGCGTAGGGTAGTTCGGAAGATGGTTTGAGTGGGAAGGGTTGTTAGTCGTTGTTTTTGTATTGGATTATAGTTTGGGAATTTTAGGGCTTGTTTTCCTAATGTCCCCTCAGCCTGTATTTTGTAATGCTCATAGTTTTTTCCATTTTGACAAAGCCAGGTGCTAATAACATACAGTGTATGCGACTCAAATCTTTCCCATTTAATATTTTGAAGTTTAAGTTCAAGTCAATATTTATCTCCTTTCGAAAAGTTTTGAGATGCAGTCTTAACATATGTTAGTACACGCTCTTCTAGTGTCAACAATCCTGTTTACTAAGAAATCTTTTTAATCTGACAAGTATTATTTTGAGCTGAGGGGCGAAATTTGAATGGTGCAAAACATGTTTATTTGCTGATGTTGAACGTGTTATTTTTGACCTGGTTGTAAATGTGCAGTTCTTCAATGGGCTTTTTAAACATGTTATAACGTATTCCTTGGCCTCAGTATCAAACGGAAACGCTTATGTTGTAGATATGTGCATTGCATTATACTGATGAGGTGCCTCATATCACCTCATTGACATAAGGTGCCGCCATAATGGTACCATACGTGGTGTCATATTTAAGCACATGTCAAGGTGTTCAGATTTGTTCAGAAAAATATTTACATTTCCATGAACAACGGATATGACGTTAGTAAAAAACAAACAATTCGTCAGGTGTTAAGTGTCTTGATGCTATAAAAACACATTTTTAAGCAAATCATTAAGTTGAAAAAAAATGCAAGACATTTGGACACACTGAACTTTAGGTAACATTATTAACTTTTATCAAAAACAATTATTTTAATCTTAAGAACAAAATATTTTCCTTTATTTCTAAATAAAATGCATCGAGAAAATATGTATTGAAAAATACGTGTTACAAATCTCAATTAGAATAAGTATCTTTATTTTAAGTACAGTAAAACCTGTATATAGTGAACACCCGGAGCCACAAAAAGTGTTCACTGTAGGTAGGTGTTCACTACAGAGAGGGGATATTAGTATAAACTGGAGTCAGTGGAAAATGTGTCTTGAAATGGTGTTCACTAAACACAGGTGTTCACTTGAGAGAGGTGTTCAATAAGACAGGTTTAACTGGAATCTTTTTGTTTTGAGGGAAAATGCTTAAGTGAAAATCAAGGTAAAATCAGAGTATTTGTGCTAAAATTAATATCACCTTAACGATCAAAAGGAATCACTCAAAATCATTCAACATTACATTGATGTAACCAAAACTGTATTCTGTTAATTACATTACTTACGTCATTGATTAATCTTCCGTAGATAGCCTATCAAATTGGACCATAAATCACCAGCTATGATGCGACAGGTAATCTCCGTGTTCTTCATATGTGCAACAATCCTATATGCCAAGGCTGTGCCACCACGATGCACAAGAGCAGATATTAAGAAGCTAAATAGCACAGTAATTCACTCGAAGAGCGAACTAACTGAAGCATTCAATAGCAAATTACAAGTGATCAAGAATGACATAAAATCCGAACTAGCCAATGAAATTGGCAATCTCTCCGACAAACTTACCAATGAAATTAACCAAAATGAAGAAAAACTGAAAATTGATGTGAATATTGTGAATGCTGAAGTGCTTAAAGTAAACAATAAACTGGACCAGATCAAAAATGACATCAAAGGAGAACTGAATGATGAAATCGATCAGCTGACTGGAAGTATTAATCAAAAATTTGATGATCTGAATAAAAAGCTGATTGAAGCATTCAACAGTACACTAGTTCAGATGAAGAGTGCCATTAAAACTGAACTTACAGTAGAAATCAATCAAAATGAAGATAAGCTGAATGGGCTGAAGACACAACTGACAAAAACAACTAATGAACTGAGTGATTGTGCATGTGAGAGGAAACGACGTAAGTCCACCGATTTGTTGTATACTCCATAATTTTGATTGACACATACTTATCTCAGTCATTATAACCAAAACAAATGTTAATAACTCCATCATTCAACATGTGTGTAATGTCATATTTGGCATATTTAAACCTTGTTCAATGGCAGTCTGGGAAACAAGCATTTTTTGTGCCTGGACAAATTTGTCGAGTCACTTTGAAACACTCCAGACAAATTCTTTTTTGAAATTTTGAAATTTTGAAAACACACTTGGCATTTTTTTGTACTTGGTTAATGTAAAATAAAAATACATGGAAACAGAGGGGGGGGGGTATAAAATGATTCTTAACCATTGACTTTTATATTTTGCACTGTTTCATTTGTCGACAACTTCTTCCTCAGAAGAAGGCCAATTTATATTCTTTCATTTTGTGTAAAACAAAATTCATTGTCTCATGTCTCAGCAAAATCTATCTAGACAATTTTGACCACACAGTTTGAAACAGTCTGGACAAAGGAGCACGTAGGTTATCGCAAACAATTTCAAACGATTCTAACTTGAATTATGAATATTTTTTGATCATGAACATGGGTCTGATTAACTAAATTATCATTATATATACTTTTCTTGAAGATAACGAATGGATCTAAAAGATACAGGGTGTTCCAAAAGTAACAGGACTGGTGCTGGCATTTTGTTAAATATGTACCAATCGTCTTCAAATTTTCACACAATGTACTTTCAAGTATTGCGACTAAAAATCTGAAGTTTGAAAAAAAATTATTGAACGCAGGTAGAGTTATGGTTGTCATGGTAACATGACATCACAATACCCGGGGCAACATTTGGCATGAAAGTGTGATAAAATTTGTCAATTAATAAATAAAGTATCCAATCACTTACTACAATACAACTTTTTTTTGTATTTGTTTTTGTTGTTGTTATGTTGTAATATTGTTGCCATACAATTCAGATTTAAGTGTTTATGATGTCATAATAATGATGTTTATTCAATTTTCTGGAATATCACCATCTATGACAGTCTGTACAATTCAGCAGAGTCTTTGGGTAAATTCAGTCACTTCAGTCAAAATGAAGAGGCTGATAATGTCAAAGCAGGAGCAGAGAGCTGCAATTAAGTTCTGTGTGAATCTTAAAAAGACTGGGAAACAAACAGTGGACATGCTTCAGGAGGCCTGTGAAGGAAATTGCATATCCAGGAGTAGGATATTTCAATGGCACAAGGAGTTCTCAAATGGCCAGTCAGATATCAAAGACAAACCTCGATCTGGACGTCCAAGAATTGCTTCAAGTGGAAACAACATCAAGCTTATCGACAACATTATTAAAGAAGATAGACGCTCTAGTATAAGGGACATCACACAGCAAACAGGATTATCAATTGGAACAGTCAGCAGAATCCTTAAGAGAAACCTCAAAGTTAGGAGTTTGGCAACACTTTGGGTTCCACACCAGCTCACCGAGGCCCAAAAAGCAAGGAGAGTGGAAGTGTCTGAACAATTTGTCCGAAGGTACGAAACTGAAGGTCGTCACTTCTTAGAAAGAATCATCACTACTGATGAAACCTGGGTGTACTTTTTCACACAATATACAGCTCAACAAGCTTCTGGATGGTACCATGATGGGTCTCCATTGACAGAAACACCTCGGCTCTTTAACAACAAAGATAAGCGAATGCTTATCACTTTCTTGGACATTTGGGGAATGGTTCTGGTTCATCTTGTCCCAAAGGGCCAACATGTTGACTCCGACTACTACATTCAAGTGAGTAGTTTGTAAGTAGTAAGTAAGTAGTAGTTTTCTGATATAATACTTGAATTTGATTGGAAAAAGTATTTCCTCTGTCATGGAAAAATCATTTGGATGACATTTAAATACTCCTCTGTTTCAGGTCCTCAAACGTCACTTAAAACGGGCCATTTCGAAGAAAAGACCGAATTTAAAGCCAATCCTTCACCTTGACAATGCCCCTGCACACAAATCAGCAAAGACTACTGCAGCTATAGATGAACTAGAACTTGAGATCTTAGACCATGCACCATATTCACCTGATCATGCTATATCTGACTTTTATTTGTATGGAGAACTGAAAGCTAATCTGCGTGGCAGGACCTTTGTAAATGAGAACGACCTTCTCCAAGGAGTCCAATCGACCTTGCGTGACATGGCATCAAATGGGTTCTCACACGTGTTTGAGTCATGGGTCCAGCGTCATTACACTTGCATTGACCAGAAAGGAGCCTACTTCTCGAAGTAGAGGATATATAAGGATATCTATGATGCAATACTAATGTTATTCTACTTATTGTTGCATTTTCACTTGGACATATAAAATGCTAAAAGTCTCTGTAAGTTCCTGTGTGGAATGTTGCCCCGGGTATTGTGATATCATGTTACCATGACAACCATAACTCTACCTGCGTTCAATAAAAAATTTTCAAACTTTATATTTTTAGTCGCAATACTTGAAAGTACATTATGTGAAAATTTGAAGACGATTGGTGCATATTTAACAAAATGCCAGCACCAGTCCTGTTACTTTTGGAACACCCTGTATCTTTTAGATCCATTCGTTATCTTCAAGAAAAGTATATATAATGATAATTTAGTTAATCAGACCTAAGTGATATTGAAGGGGAAATGGACCAATCAACATATTTTTTCAAAAATGTTGACCTAATTTTCACCAAAAATGCAACCTATTATTATATTGTTGAATGCATAATTAGAATGTGCTTTGAGACATGTTCGATTTCCTAAAAGGAAAATTTGATTGCTCCAGGGACTTTAAAGATATTCAATTTGGATGACCAAAATGAACTGAAACCAATGGATAGCATGAGATTTTTCAATGGAGAAATAACATGGGGAACACTTATCTTAATGCAATTAAGTTTTTCTTTCAAGAACTATTTGATACATCAAAATAAAGAATAGTAATGCATTAAACATTGTAAAAAATGATTGCATTTTTGGTGAAAATGGGGTCAACATCTTCAAAATGGGGTCAAAAAGTGTGTTGATGGGTTAATTGCTAGTTAAATATCTCCGAGTTTGTTTGAATTTGTTATTACTGTGCATAATTTTCTTTGAGATAATGAATTGATCTAAAAGATAAACTTGTCTTCATTGTCAGAAAATACTCATAATCCAAGATATAACCTTCTGAAATTGTTTGCGATAACCCACGTGCTCCTTTCTTTTCAGACTCGACATTTATCTGTTGTCTGGTGCTTATTTCCCACACTGCAATTGTTGCATGTTTTGTATCATGGCCAAATCAATAAACTATTGGAAATAGACCAATGGAACTTAGTAATATGAAAGAAAACTGAACCAGGTTTAACTTTTGTGTCAAATAAATTTTAAACCCATGCATGTTCGATGGTTCAGTTAGACATTTGGTTGGTTTACCTTTTTGGCTCATTCTGTAGTTACATGTACTAAAATGCCGCGTTACACGTGAAGTTAAGTCCGAGAGGGTCCCTTTGAGTTGAGAAGCAATGTATAAAAGATGGACATATTTCTGTGTTGACAAATAATCACAAATGTAACATGTACAATCATTATTTTACAGAGAGAAGTCTAATCTACTATGCTGGCCCTTACATCTACACATTTGCTGCTGCAAAGGCATACTGTAAAAGTAAGGGTCATAAGATAGCCACACCAGCACAAATACAAGCAGCCTTTGACTTGGGAATGTCGGAATGCAATTGGGGATGGGTTGAAGATGGAAGCCTTAGGTCTCCACAACAGATGCCATTTACAAACAACTGGTGTGGTAAACGTGGACTTAATACTTGGCTGAATTATGATCAATTGAAAAAAAGAGGAGTCTATTGTGCTACAAACCCAGGTCCATAACAGTAATATTACACAAACTAAGCAACATTATTACCACCTTGCCGGTGTAAAAGGGTAGGAGGTCCTATCAAAGGCTTTGTATAAAAAACCTCCTACCCACGTACCCTCGTACCCACGTACGTGGGTCCTGACCCAGTCTTTAAAGAGTTAAATTTTTAAATGTTTAAAACATTATTCAATCTCAGTTTATCCTGAATTATAGATGAATTTATGCATCCATATGCCTTTATTTATAGGTCTGACATCTCTCTAGTAAAATAAAATAAAGCCGGTGTAAAAGAAATTATGGTCCCCCAGGGATTATGGTCCCCTTTCTTAACGGCCCTTTCTGGCCCCGATTGTGTATAAGATAATAAGGGAAAGGGGTCACCATATAAATCAATGAAGAGTAGAACCATAATTTGATAGGACCTCCTACCCTTTTACACCTGTCCAGAATATATTCTGGACCGGCAATTTCTCCCAGGGAAATTAGATATCGTTCAGTGCGTAAGATTTTCTTGCTATTTCAGCCCTGGTCGTTAACGGTGGTAATAATACTAATAACGTCATTTCTGCGAGCAATAATATTGTTTTTATTTTATTGTTTTTAGCGCTTCAGTTCAGTTTTTATGCAGTTGAAAAGGATCCAGACAGGATCCGAAACGTCCTGTTTAGTAAAATAAAGGTTGTGAAAAGAAGAAAAAATAGTTTTGTAATATTTTTAGCAATGTCAAATGAAAGATGGCGATGAGAGTCATATTACGTTCTTCATTCACTTTTTCGTGTGTCAACCAAATACGTCATCTTTTCATTCAAAGGTGATTTATAAACACCTTAGTGAAAACATGGGGCATCAAGAGAGTAGAAGAGTTAACAGAGTAATAGAACAATTGTATCAGATGCTGGCACACCTTTGCCGGAAGATTGCAAGAAGTAACTTTTGGCAATGCAGTTTGTTAGAGTAACCTAGTAGGTGTAAGAAAATATAAGGTGATGGGCTTTCAAGTAGTAAAAACAATTTTCACGGCCGAATTGGACTTCAATTCCTGCGATTTCAGGGGGTACTATAAGACTATTTTATAACATAAAGGGTATAATTGCTATTGTTCTGTTTTCTACAGCACACATTACTAGTCCAAAGATGAATAATATCCCAAAGTTATAGGCCGATATCTGTATTAGTCTCAGAAATATTGCAATTAATAGGAAAAAAATATGCAATTTTAGTCATTTCTAAGTCACGCCTATTTTATATTTGTAGCTTCAAGCTAAAGATGGCAGCTTGAATAGCTCAAAATTGTTTTTAAAAACTAATTCAAGCTTTGTTTGATATTGTAATACAATTATAATAATGATAATGTACTATTTATGATTTTTAATATGACTTTATAGTTCCCTACCCCTGGAAAGTGGGCGTGGTCAATGTTATCATTTTGCAGCATACAGTTAAAAACTTGTATTGATAGAAAGCAAATCAGTGCATTTAAAACCTCTTCACTTGTTACTTGACAATGTAATTCATTTATAACTAAAATATATGACTCTACATATTTTATATATTTGTTTTCAATTGTTTACAATGTAGCATAATGAAATCTAGTAGGCTGTTTCATTTTCAGTGTTCACTAACACATGAAATGTAAGTCACAGTGTTTCCAAATTACCTTGGCAATGAGAAAGTACCACAAAGACTACATAATATGAGGAGATTCAAGGTCCTAATTCTAATACTTACCGATCTATCAGCATTCAAAAATAGAGAAAGCTGTCGTGAGTGCAGTTTTTACTAATTTTTAACTGAAACTGCTACTTACTGAATATTTTTCTCAACATCTGTGACTTTTTTGGACCCCAAACATAAGATACCAAGACATAATGCTAGCAAGTTCTGATATTGGAAGTTTCAGAACTATGGATCAAATATTCACTTCTGCATGTACTTTTAAAAAGACCCAAAAGGACAAAAAATCTGTCAGATATAGGGAAAAATATGAAATATGCACTATTCAGAACAATTTGGGAAAAGCTGTAGCAAGTATGATTTTCACCAGTTTTTCATCTAAGACTGCAACTTTCTGGATTTTCTTTTTACAAACTGCACCGTAAGACCAAAGACATTAAGTCTCACATATTCGATCAAAACTTGCCATGCAAACATGTTAGTCTACTTTACTGCCCCCCCCCCTTGCTGTAACAAGGAACCCAAAACACATTAAAACGTAAACATAAACCAATTAGTCACTTCACTTTGAAAGTGGGGGTGTTAGCAAATGTGTATTAGGCCATAATAAGTAGATTCTTTGTTTTGCGTCCTGGCAAAATCCAAATCATGCAAGGGTACAAGGAAAACAAACACAAACTCAAGAAAAAAACACAAACTTGTTTGCTGAGAAATGTATACATTTTATGGGCATAAAAAGGGATGACATACCAATTTGCAGTGATTACAAACACCTATCTATACATTTTATACAATATATTTAAACTTCAAGGGTAAAAAATAAGAAAATACACAATGTATGCCAAAATAATTATAACACTGTCAATTTTGACGCACATCAAATTATCCGCCATTTCGTCTGATTCAGATTGAACGAAATGTAATGGTACTTTCAGACCCTTGTGATTGCTATTTTGATGTGTTTGCTTTTTCTGAACTACTCAAAATCGTGCAAGAAAGGGGACGCAAAGCAAAGAATCTACTTCTTATGGCCTTAGCAGAATACGCTGTGTGCACGGACTTACACAATATCAGTGGTCATTTACTGTGTCAACTTAGTAACCCTTGCATATCGTGCTCACTCAAGTATTGAATAATTTTTTTATGATCTAAATGTTTGTGGTTTATAAAAAAATGTGATATATTTTAGTTAGAAATACATTAATTAATATATTCATTCAAACAGCACTAGAATGCGGGAAGAAAGAGCAATGGTGGCAAAATGCAGACAGAATTTTCCGTAAGGGTTTCAAACATTTCTGAACACAATCATACATGTACTTCATGTGTACTGTTATTTTTAGTGCTGTATTTATAGATATAATTTCACATATTAAAATCATATTTTTCCAGCAATGACTTCAAATTCGGAACCACACTCATTTCACATTTTCTTCAATAGCTCCAAACATGTGTAAACATTGACCATGTGCATATAAATTCAGATTTCACGAGCTCTTTCCTATTCGAGTACCTCATACACCCCTGCATGGATTTGAGTTGGATTCGCCTTTTATACGTGAGCCGACACACTCGCAAACGCTGATTGGATAAAGATTGCGAGAATCTTTAAAGGAAACCTGGTCATTGCACCACCAATAATAAGTAAAAATAATATTGGTAATATATACCAAGTATTTACTTTAATTCCAAGGCATCTGATATGATAAATAAATGAAATCAGTACTTTATTGTATCTTGGGACAAAATACACTGTTGAAATATCATCAACTCTGACCATGGTGGCAATGATGCTTTTTGGTCAATTTTTGACCATGGAATATCATGTTATACCATATTTCATGGTATTTCATGTTCAAAGTTAACCATCAAATACCATGGTATTATCATGGTATTTCATTGCCATGTTTCTGACCATCATTTACCATGGTATTACCATGGTATATCATGGTTGATTGCATTTCATTGTAAGATGTGACAATCAAATACCATGGTATTTCAATGCCATGTTCCTGACCATAATTTACCATGGTATATCAATGGTTGATGGCATTTCATTATAACTTGTGACAATCAAATACCATGGTCATACCATGGTATTTCATTGCCATGTTCCTGACCATCATTTACCATGGTATTACCATTGTATAGCATGGTTTATGGTATTTCACTGTACGATGTGACAATCAAATGCCATGGTCATACCATGATATTTTATTGTTATGTACCTGACCATCATTTACCATGGTATATCATTGTTGATGACATTTCATGGCAATTCATTGTACTGTGTGACAATCAATTGCTATGGTCATACCATGTCATTTCATTGCCAAAATCATAACTCTCATTTATCATGGTTTTATCATTGCATTTCATGGTTGGTGGTATTTCATAGCATTTCATTGTCAAACCTGACCATCAAATACCATGGTATTTCATCGCCAAAAGAACTCTAGAAGAGTGTCAAGTCTAAAATTGGTCAGAGTTGAAATGGATCATGAAATGTAATGAAATACCATGTTTAACCATGAAATACAATGAAATACAATGATTGATCATGATATGCAATGAAATGCAATGGTCTTTCTTGCAATGCAGTTAAATACAATGAAAGTCAATGTTCAAAAAGTATTTTTTACATGAAATGTCTTTATTAATAAATGTTAATTAGATAACCAAATTATTATAATTAGTGATTCTGATATTTATCAAAATCACAACTTTATATACTTTTGTTCCTTTATTTAATAAATCAATTTCTATTATGAATAATTAAGCTAATAACCCTAGAAACAAATTTCTTTGTTAAACTAATATGCTTTACTTTTATTTGACTGTTGTCGCTAAAATAGGAGATCAACTTAATATTTTGTAAGTCCAACCTCCATTCTTCGATTAAACATCTTGACTGTGCTTCATTGCATTTGATAGTTTGCAACCATGAAATACTGCAAAAAAGCAGTATTTTGAAATGCAAAATTTTAAGTACAGTGACCATGGTATTCAATGGGGTAGATCATGATAATTAAATGGCTCTATTGCATATCATGGTTGAATGTCTAGACCATGATATTACTGCATTTGATGGTATTTGACCATGAACTACTGTGAAAAGGTGGTATTTTTTAGATACAAAATTACATGTTAATTGACCATGGTATATCATGATCGTTAAATGGCACCATTGCATTTCATGGTCAGAAGTGCTTTTTTAACATGGAGTTTCCCATTGACAAAATACTGCCGTTTCGCAGTATTTCATAGTTAGAAACCATCAAAAGCAATGATATGAAGGTCAAGAAACCATCAAATGCAATAATATCATGGTCGAGACCATGATATCATTGCATTTGATGGTTTTTGACCATGAAATACTTCAAAACGGCAGTATTTTTTCAATGGAAAACTCCATGTTAAAAATGCGCTGT